CTTTAAAACCAGGGTTACACTGATTTGTATTTATTTGTTTTTGTGAAGTCCAAACAATAGAAATGAGAGTTGAATGCAGATGTTTCTGTGCTAAATTTAATTAGCCAGCCTCAGGGTGGCAGCTGGGGTGGCGGGGTATATTTAGCTGCCCCCCTGGTGCCCCTCCCTGCAGCCGCCCCTGCTGTTGGTGAAACAGCCTCTCTCTTTACTGCGTTTAACTTTTCGATGACATGACTCAGCAGCTGCGTGCCTGGCTTGCTGTTTTCCCGCCTTCCTGAAGTTGTAAACTCATAAACTGCCACCTCACTTTAGCGGCGACAAAAAGAAGGGTCTAAAAATAAAACCCACACCTGTAAAGCCCGCAGAGCGGCGGCACCGAAACGAGGCCCTTCAGCCCCACCCCCCTTCGAGCTGCGTCACCGAACCACACGGCGCCGCTCTGAAAGCGGACGGCGTTCAGTTTCCTCCTGCCGAGCAGAACTGCAGCTCTCGTTGGCTCCTCGTGTCGCAGGACCCTCCGGCGGGGCGTAAAACGTACATAAAATACGTGGTTAAAAACTGGAATCTTTGCGTCATTAACCCTGGAGAAATGGAGCTGTTTATCTGTACACGAGTCGGCGCTGACAGCTGACCCTCCCCGTGTTTTCCCTGTCCCTCCCCAGGTGATCGTGAGCAGAGGTGCTGAGGATGATGGAACATCTCAGCGAGACGTGTCTGGGCAAGGAGAGCTCGGAGCTGGTCAACAGCCTGGGCGAAGCCAAGGCCCCGCCGGCCAAGCTGCCCCGGCTGGAGCAGAACGGCAGCCCCCTGGGCCGGGCCAGGCTGGGCAGCGCCGGCGCCAAGCTCGCCGGCGTGCCGTTCAAACCCACCGGCCACCTGCTGAAGACCTGCCACAGGAGAGGTAGGAGGGCGGGAGTGTTGTTGTTTCGTTTAAAGCTGCTCCTCACACAGACGGTCACATTTGGCCTCAAATGTGACCCATCATGTCTAAAAGTGGTATAAGGAGAAAAGGGCAAATTTAGTGTTTTGATTAAAACATTTGCAAAAATTGCATTTTGTCAAAACAAAATGAGTAAATGCCTTAGCAATGTATCATTTCAATGAACTGTCAAATATAATCATAAAACAAAAGTTTGAAGCAATTTTTTGAGCAGTAGCAACAAAAAACTGATTTTGAGGAAAAATTCCTCAAAATTTGGAGATTTTCCCTGTGAGCTAGCAAAGTGTTGTTTCATTTCAGCTGCGAAATCTCAATATTCAAATGTAATTTGAGGTTTCCTCTTTATAAGGACATCAAAAATTCTTCATTAAAATGACATAAAATTAGGATTCAGACCAAATATTTATGTATTATTTTAACCAACAAGACAAATTGAGTCATTTAAATGGATTTACTCATGATATCAGGATGATCCAGGTATCAAAATGTAGCTTTTTAAAGCCAAGAATCTGAAAATGTAATGAGGTCATTTTGACCAAATTTGACTTAATCCTCATTTTGATATGATGGGTCACAAATAGATCAATAATCGTAAAATATTTCATGTTTACATTCTTATTTATTGTTGAGGAAAGTATGTAAATAAAACCGCTTTGTTTACATTGAGTACAGACCTGCATTTCAGTATTTTTATCAATAGAGCTGGAACTACTAGAGTAAACTCTTTCAAATTGTTCAGGTGGCCTCTTTATGTTTGATTTCATAATTTGCAGCAATAAAAAATAAAAATAAACCTAAAAATTAATTATAGGTTTGAGGCGTTGGTGGAACCGATGAGTCACAGAATAAACAACGCTGATGTTTATAGTTAACTGCAGCGGAAACTAAACTTATTTATTAAGTTTTTAATGTAAGAGAAGTGATTTAAAATGCTGTGACCTTTGTTTCCACTCAGACGTCTCCAAACAACACGTTGTTGTTTTGTTTCGTCAGATTTGGTGCCTCTTATCGTCTGAAACAAAGCGAGCAGAGGAGCAGCGTGAATCGTCTCTGCAGAGCCGCGCTCCGAAACAAAGTTTCAGTTTGAAACGTTTAAAGGAAGTTTTTTTTTTTGACGCAGCGTTTTAATAAAACTGCTGTCAACTCGTTCTATATTTTTATATTTTTCAGTGGATTTATAGAACTGAATTATAGAATCGTTTATTTTTTCTTGTCGGGGTTGTGCTCAGTTTGTCACCTTCATCATCTCTTAGCCTCCCACGGCGCTCGCTCCTCCGAGCCTCCTCTCCCTCCCACTCGGCAGGTTTTTTTTTTTTTTTTTAGGATAGCGGCCGGGGGAGGCGCCTCCGCCGCCGCCGCCTCTCCGAGGAGAACCCACAGTGGGCATTGTGTCCGAGGCCGAAACAATATTTACCGCAGCCCTCTCTGGGCTCCCTGGAAACAAAGCCGGTATTGATCCCCCAAATGAACCGACACAGCAGTCTTTATTGTTAGATCTTTATCTATTAAAATCAGGGGAGGAGAAAAGCAGGACTTTCAGCACATTCCTCTGCATCTGTCGGCTTATTGATTGTCCGGCCCGGAGCCGTGCGGGTCTTCTGGAATGCCTGGGATTGGAAAATATTAGAAAGTGACTCGTTTATCTGTTTATAAACAAAGAGGTTTGTTCAGTTTGTTCAGGAGGAAAAAGAGCAACTGATTATTTTACATCAGACTTTATATTGCAGGGATTTTATTTTGAAGAAACTTTAAGGTGTCTTTATAAAGCATTTATAAACAGGTTATTAAAACTTTGTGTCGCTCAGCTGTTGTCAGTGTTTTTGTTTATATCGCTGCTAAAATATAATAGTTTATTACACATTTACGGCTGATTCAAAACCTGTATTTTTCTGCTCGTATTGATGGTGAACGTGCCCAGAAACGAAGCATTTGTAAAGAAAAATTAAATGAAAAAGTCCGCCATTTTTGTGTGAAACAAATGTTTTGTTTACGTTGAGCGCGTACCCGCGTTTCAGTCTTTTACAAATGCCTCGGCCCGATGCGGAGCAGGCTAAACTTTTGATGTTTAATTTGCGATGAGCAGCTTTAACTAAAACACCGGGTGACGACGGGAGCTGCTGTCGACACAGACGATCAAAGCTCGGAGATGGCGGCGCTGCATCATGGGAAGACGAGTCTGAGTGGGCAAACCCAAGCAGCTTGAATATAAGTGTTTTTACTCTGAACTGAAGATAACTCTGTTTATCAGGAGACAAACTGTCGAAGGTTTGAAGTAACTCATTTTTTGTTTTTGTTTCCCCACCGTGTCTCACCAGGCAACATGCTGCCGGTGTTCTGCGTGGTCGAGCACTACGAGAACCCCATGGACTTCGACAGCAAGGAGGAGCACGCCGAGTTCGTCCTGGTGCGTAAGGACATGCTCTTCAACCAGCTGATCGAGATGGCCCTGCTGTCCCTGGGCTACTCCCACAGCTCAGCAGCTCAGGCCAAAGGTAAAGGACACACACGCGCTCTGTTAGCAAAATATCCTTTTACCGCTGCAGCTCCATGGGATTCAAGATGGCCGCCACGGTTGGTTGACCTTCAAAAACAGATGCAGAGCTGAAGTGGTGGTACCTGACAGGGTTCCTGCAGATCCTTAAAAAGGCCTTGAATTAATCAGTCCAATAATAAGACCTTATTTAGCCTTAAAATGTCTTAAATCAATCTTTCAGAGGTCTTAAAAACAGTCACACTTTGTCAGTAGGATGATTGTAATTTGTCTTAAATATTAAAATAATTGGTAACATTTATAATTTTTTGTAAATAGTTGACTGAATGCCTCTGGTAGCTAGTTGTTTTGTGTTAAAATAAACATTTGGGTAAAATTGTTGATAGTTTTTTTCCCCCTTTAAAGGTGGTCTTAAATTTAATTTCAAGTGGCATTAAAGAGGTCTTAAAAAGTATTAAATTTTACTTGTCTTAAGCTGTAGGAACCCTGCCTGAGAACAGCTTTGTTTAAAATCTAACCTTTAACAGCTCATTGTGAACTCTTTATGTCTGTTAGCAAAATATCCCGTCTCCCACTGAAGGTTTTTAACGAAGCTTTCAGGAAATAATCTTTGAATAAACATCAACAACTGGAGCAAGTCCAATTCAAGATGGCCGCCACAGCTTACCAACCTTCAAAAACACAAAAATGGCTACAATTTGGCTTGTTTTACAGGAGCTAAAGTTTAGCTTGGTAGTAGCTGAGAGTCACCTCCAATATTTAAATTGATCGCCTGATGGCCTGTGTGCGTTTTCTGGATCTGCAGACCTGACTCTGATCCCTGACGGTGTCCCACATTCCTACACAGATCTGCCTCGTTGGATCATGCACACACACCACACACACACACACACACACACACACGTGTAGGTGGCACAGGCAGGTGGAGGGAAGGGGTCTGCTAATTGCACTCATGCAGGCCAAGGTTGGCTGTTTGAAGGTGCCTCTTTGCATGCTCTTTTATTATAACCTGTCCATCACACACACACACACACACACACACACACACACACACACACACAC